ATATTGGAGATTTAAATTTTGTCCTTCTTAGCAAGGGAACTTAGGTGTACTACTTGATTTTTCATGTTTTAAAGGCTTTGTATCCTTTAGAAAGAGTTTTATATCCATTGTATCCCCAAACTGATTACCTAAACATGATTTTTTTGAGGCTGAAAAACATCTCAGTGATGTCTTGGATATAGACTAGAGGCATGGTGGCAGGGTTCATACCAATTTCACTTTGCTGATTTTATTTCTTCATTCTTTATTCATGCACACACACACAAGCACAAATAAATAAGCACAAAAACTCAAATATACATATAGACACACACACCATAGCACTGATACAACGTAATTATTTTTCCTTTTCATTCCCTTTGACAGAAACCTTTGGAAATCCTAAAGCTGCCATTTTTAGTAAAAACTACTGATAAAAAGTATGTCTAGCATGAATGGTGTCATCTTTGCTACTGTACAGCATAAGGTGATGATAACAGAAGATACCATATATTACATTGTCCATCTTCGCCAATCAGTGTATGACTTTAAGCATCAGTGACAGACATTCATTGAAAAAGTAAATGAGATGCTCAGCACTGTAGCAGCAAAATTTATGGAGTTTGTAAGGAACACACCACAGATTCTGACTCATCCTCTGATGTTAATTTAAAAAAAAAAAGTGTATGCAGTACTAGAAGTTAAAAAATAAACAATATAGCAAAGTGAAAAAATAGGTTAACTTCTTATTCCTATTATTTCCAAACCCTTTTCTCATTTTCCTAGTATTTATATTGCAACATTAATTTATAATGAAGAACAAAAAACTTCAAAAAAACAAAATACATCTATTTTTTAATATATCTATAGGCCTTCCAGAGAAACAGCACTGATTGGATAACAGTCTATGGAAGATTGCGCTTACATAATTCTTCTGCCACTTATTTCTGAAAATATACACAACACTTGCATGAAGTGTTATCTTTTAACATCTTTCTTATCTTTTTTTTAAGATTCGTTTAATCTAAATCTGTAGATGTGTTTTTAGGTTGCAACAGTAGCGACTCAGACTGACAGCTATGATTTGGATATTTCTGTACCAGTCGTACAGTACAAAAAGCCAGGATCTCTATCTCTACACTACTAAGAGGGAGTAAATGGACCCATACCAACAGCCTGTGGTGTTAGCTCCCAGAGTGGACGGACTTTTGCTGTTCCCAGTGACACCTAGTCTCAGAGAATTTGTTATGGCTGCAGAGGTTTGTCTATGCCATGCTAAGACTGATAAAGAGCCGAGTCAAAGCAGCTCCTTTGAGATACTCTTTCTTCCCACAAGAGTAGAAGAAGCTAACCATGAAAGAGAACCTGCAATAAAATTTGCTAAAATAGCACATACATCAGTACTTAAAATCTGGTAAAGACTTCACCTATAGGAAAGCACATTGATGTTAGAGTTGCATCTGCCTCCAAGTACTGCAGATTAACATCTTGGTGAGATATTGGAAAGTATTAAACACTATGCTTAAAAGTATGCCTCTCTTTCTTCAAAGAAGGATTCTTAAACTTAAATATATGGTCATACACCTAAGTAAATAGTGAAATACAAAGATGCAATTGCTGACTGCAAAAAATAACTGGAAAAAGTAGGTAGTAAAACTTTATACATATATATATGTGTATATGTGTATGCACATATATATACATGCATACACATTTATCTAAATCCAAATGTCTTAACTTAGTCTACTTGCTGAGCATTTCTCAAAGACAAAGGATCCAGTGGTAAACACTTCTGAAAACCAAGTAACTTTTATTAGGTGGCCTAATAAATTCTTGGGAAGTAATTCACCAATTTGAGTGAGTCAGTGAATGGAGATTAGTGTTAGAGGCCAAGGAATAGAAATTTAAAAAGATAGTACTTCTATTTGGAGGCTGCTGGGGCCAACTATGTAAAAAATTAAAGAAGTGTCTGCCTCATTTATACACCTTGTTGATGCAAGACAGCAATTTGCAGCTTAAGACTTCTTGCTAGACCTAAGATGGGAAGATAATCATACGGTCTTACAAAATTTGACTACCAGACAGGTACTCAATAACTAGTTATCACTTCGCTAACAATTAGAAGATGTGGGTTCTCTGCCCACAGGAGTTGTGCACTCACAGAAAGCAGAGTTTTGGCTTCCAGGCCCTGACCTCCAGGATTGCTACTTAGGCATTTAATCCAGGTCCTTGAAAATGCAATCAGATTTCTTCTGCAGGAATCAGAACCAAAGTCTCATTTCTGGTGATAACTCCCATTTCCTTGGTAAGTCCCCATCAAAGGGCTTCAAACATGGTATCCTTGCCTCTGTCTCTCTCCAGCTCCCTAATTAATTATATTAGCTTTACACATTTTCACCACAATAGTATGTTAAGAGTAGCCACCCACCAATATAGTTATGGGATCCTAATACTCTCTTGGGAGAAGTAATACCCATGAGATTGTGTCCAGAGTATCCACAGATACCTTGGTTTTGAATGGCATTAAGAGGAACACAGAAGCACTCAGCTCAGCCAAAGTAGCATCACCCTGGGCATGTAGAGATGAAAAGCTTCAGGAGTCTTGGAAACTTTTGTAATAATCACTTAGGAATGATGTCTCAGTCATCACAGCTAAGTGAGCACAGGATAGCTGATGCTGATGCTGATTTCATTCTAAAGTCTATCTAATGCACTAATATCATCTAGTCTCTCTTTGGACCTAGCCGCAAACACTCAAGTTTCAAAGCAGATAAATAGGGCATCTGAGTTGGCTCACTGATATCAGAAAGTGTTAATCTGCTTAAAGCTAAGCATTTTATACACATTATCAAGTTTTAGAAGTGTAGGTTTATACCTTTGCAATAATGTAATATATTTTATTACTATATTGCGATAGTAATTATTTGTCATTTCAAAACAAGGTAAGTAATATTGACTCATGAATATGAATGTTATGGCCCCACTGATTTTAAGTGTAGTCTGACATACACATAAGAATCACCGACAAAACATTCATATGATGTGACTTTCACACCCTTTTCAGGCTTTGCAAAATCAGTTAGCAAGGAAACTAATTAGTTCACAACCATAAATGCAATAATGATTCATATAAAGAAGACTTGATGTTACATGCTGTAGCAGACCTTCCTTACAACTGCTTAGAGGTTTTGGGAAAGTACTGAAAGAAAAAAGTCCCTAACTATCTATAAAACTATGCTCAAATAACAATGTTCCATCTATATTCTAAAGCTAATTTAACTAATCTACTTTTTACTTGAACATCTAGAGACCATTTATGTGGACAGATCATGTTTCTGCCAGTTATGGCAGCTGTGGTAATTATACAGAATTCTTTAAATTATAACACGATTAAGTTAGATTACATTGCAAAATAAGTAAGGTTTGTGTAAAGGGCAAAACCATACACTAAACAGTTTCCAATGTGCAAAATTTAAAAATGCCTCATCCCTTTCATATAGTCTCTACCTAAATAAGGTTTTATTTACTTTTCTACTTGATAAATATTTTTCCTTCTTTGGGACAGTCAGTTTCTCTACATCTCTGTTCCCTTTTCTTTCTTGACCCTTAATTCAGAAATCTTAATTCTGAATGATGGCAATCACAAGGCACTATCTGTTCAAAATCAAGTAAATGTTTCCCTATGAAGGTACTGAATCCCAGTCAAGATGCAAAGCAACTCTCACATAAGCAATTTGAGGGCCTAAACCAAATATATGCATTATGACTGGATTTGTACCATTAATGAATTAAACCCAAGTAACAATGCTTCTAATCTCAACAGCTTGCTATAGAATACTGAGAACTGTAACACAGATCCTCAGATAACTTTCCTGAAAATATATTTTAAGAAAAGTTGAAAAATTAGTCGGTTATTCCAAATAGTGTGTGATTCTCTCACACTCACTGCCATATTACTCAGATCAGTGCGAGTCAGATGCTCAGATTCAGCACGAAACACAGTTATTGAAATGCTTTAACATTTTAATATATTGGCCATGATATTTATTTGGTAAGATTTCAATTTAACTGTAATACTGTAATCTACAGCACATAGAAAATATTATGTTAGAGGACTTAGCATCTGTTTTTAAAACGGTAACGATGACACTGATCTAATTTGGAATTTACTGTTTAAGATAACAGTTCACACACTAGATAAAAATTTTGAAATATCTTTCGCATAACTTTGATTTTATATAAATTACAACTAACTAGATAATGTCAGAAATTGCCACAATAATTTATATTTATTCTGGAATTAAAAAATCTTACATTGTTGCACCAAAATAGTTATATTATATTTATATTTTAGAAAGGGAAACACTAAAACTTTGTAAGTTGCTTACTGAAACACTCTTCATCACTATGCTGTTTTCACTTTTAAGTTTCAAACCTTCCTGTGTACACACTTAAAATTATGAACCATTTCTGTATATTTCAAAACTTGTAAATTGGATTGTTAGAGGGCTGTATGTTAACTAACCTTAGGTTAGTAATAGTAAGATACTATCTAAACAAGACTACTTAAAGTCTTAATCTTGCCAGACACTAAAATAAATACCTTTATTACATGTGTATCTTAAAGCACACGTATAATTACTTTGACTCGGACTGAAATCTAGGATTCTAACATTATTTACTTAAAACAGGGAAATATTCAGTGCAAGAGAACTTAAAAGATATAGTGAATCTGTTAAATATTAATCTTTTATTAATTACCATCACCTGGGTTGAAAAGTCAATGTTTGTTCTGCACTTACCAATGACTTTATTGGTAAGAGCAAAGTAGGAAACAAGCCCCATTTAAGGACTTTTAATCTACTTTTTTTTTCTGATAATAGAAAAGAGGGAGTCAGGCTTTGTTAAAGATGACTTCAGTTACCTTACACGTAAGTTAAGAGACTGTTCAACCACACACATTGATGTATTATGAGTAGTAAACAATTTTATAAAGAGAAAACATTCTTAAATTAACTTACCTGTAATAATGTTGGGCTTTGGTGGCATGCTGAATTCATACAACGTTGGTTCAGAATAACCCAACCTATTGGCAGCTGTAATTTGTACTTCATAACCCATGGTCCACTGAAGATGCTCTAGGATGATGTGGTCTCTACTACCCTGCACTTTTTTCTCTAGCCACTGGTCTTCCTTATCTTTCTGTAAAGATGTAAATATTAGTTTAAATTCTCAAAAATTCTTGTATTGTTTATCTAAACTGTATGTCTATATGATATATAAAAAATATAGAATTTCATTTCCAAAGGTTATGAGGATTCAAACCATACAATCCTGGAGTTCTGCGCTTTGTATAATTTTGACCAGTCCTATTCAGGTTTCCACAAGTTGGATTCGGGGATTTTGTAGCAGGCAATCATTTTTTAACTTTTTAGCCTCAATTTGTACTTTGCTCAATTACCGATGTTTATCTTAGGGAAGAGCAGGATTATTATTTATATATTCTACTATGAATAAATTTTTAAAAGGTTTATTTTATACAGATATTTCAATTTATTCTAATCAATGCTCTTTAAAAGAAGCTTCCCATCAAAGCCAAGGTGAATAGTTCACAAATGCAAGCTGTGCTTATACCATATAGAAATTATATACTGAAAACATATACTAACTTTACCAGTATGTGGTACAACACATTGCAAAGAAGATTATATGCAGTAATATAAAAATCATTAAGAAATCAGGCAGTCCTATGTTTACACTAGTGAGAGGATACTCGTCAATCAGTACAATGGTGTTCTAGAAAAAAAAAGGGTTCTCATAATTTAGATAATTATAAATCGCCTATACAAAGGGATCATATGAGGACTTGAGGTGCAATCTTAATTCTGACATTTCATAAATCTGGGGTGCTTACCTTTGCAGTCTTTTCTTTTAGTATTTTGAGTGCATAACGTTTTTTAATTATTCTTTATAAAAATGAGAATTGACGAATACTAATTAGGTACATGTATAAAACAATATATACTGGAAAACACAACAGTGATCTTGTTCAAAAGAATATCAATGGCTGTCACTAACAATCCATGCAGCCCAACTCTTACTACGCTCTGAGGTACAGTACAGTGCCAACCACTGTGGCTGAAGGCCAAATCCTGGCCATCCCCCACATAACCCATACAACAACATAGACAGTTAAAAGGACAAAATCTTTCTGAAAGAAATCCTTCAGTTACAGGAGAGCATGGCTTTTTGCTACAGACCACTATGCTTCTCGGCAACTTATATTCAGACTCTTTGCTGAAGCATCTTCCTCTTTACTGATACAATTGTCAAAGAAATTAGCATCTAAATTAGGTAGCTCTTAGCCCACTCGTGCTGCTTCTGTATGTTCTTTTCATGCTCAGTCTTCAGAAAATAGTGTGACAAACTAAGCTCCCTTATGTGCACTTCTGCAATAACTTATTTCCCATCAGCACTGAGCGTGATGATTCTTCCATACAGACTTTGCCTTTTGTTAAGCCCTTTCTACTCCTTCTGGAGTCATTGGGCATTGGTGCTGATTTGTTAGCCCTGGGAATGAACACAGGCACGCATACAATTCAGTAACATATCTTTTCAGGAACATCCGCAGTAAGGTCAAAGTGGCTACTTGCTGCAGCAGTAGGCCAACTAAAAGCATCAGAATGGCGGTAACATTATAAATGATGAAAAAAACAAAAAAAAAAGAAACTAATTTACTCACCATACAGTGAAATTAGTATTTTCTCAAAATGATATTTTCTAAATAAAGTGACTCAGTATTACTCCTCCTGGATAACTTCTGTTGCAATCATCTGACATTTCACTGCATGAATCCACTTATCTCTTCACTATATTATGCGATTTTTCAAAATGTACTTCATGTAACTGTTAAAAAGAATTACTACTGATTGCAATATACACATGCAAATACTCCTTACTAATGTTAGGAACAGCAATGTTATGTTGTACAGTATTTTAGTACTTGTTTATATTGGTGAGGTTTGGGAGTTTAGAAAAAAATATATCTAGATTCCAAAGAATATCCACATGACAAAATCAGAAGGTGAACTCATTACGATTTTGGTGTGCATGTACAGACGTGTGAATACAATGAGGGATTCTGAAGAGGTTCAGAACCACAGAAGAAGGGGAAAAAAATCTGAATTGAAAAATAAAAGTTCAGGCTAACAGGATTCCTGCAAGTGAAAGAGACAGTATTATGAACAGATATGACTATATTTTCAAAACAAAAAGAATCATATGTCATGAATAGAATGAACTTAAGATTTGGAAGGAAAACTATCCAGTTTTCCGTATGAGATTGCTCTTCTGTAGAAACAAAATTCAGTGAAAAGGCAGCTGTTCTGCAACTTGGTCAGTTGAAGTCAGAATTGATCATGAAAGAGTGGAGAGGTGAAAGTATACCTGCATGCATTGCCAGAGAAGTGCTGTCCAACTTTTAGTTCAAAGTGAAGATAACTGGTGGATTGAGACAAATGAAACAGACAAAACCCAAGTACCGAACTCAAAGGCAATGCAATGTTTTATAAAGACTGACAAGCACAAGTTAAGAGAAAGAAGAATAAAGAAAATGTGTGGAGAGCAAGCTGTCTTCTCCTAACGACAAATCAATCAAGTTTTCCAGAATTTGGCCTACATTTGGCATCTTAAAGAAAAGAGAGAACAACTGAAATGACCTTCACTATAGCTGTTACTTCTTATGCATTTTCAAGTATTTTTTAATAAGTAGAGCTGAGTAACACATCCAGAGTTATTCTACTATTAGAGTGGAAATGGAAAGAGAGGGGTGAGAACACAAAAGTCTGGCAGTTAGTTCTTTCTACAAATCTCCCTGTTTATACTAAGGCCCTTTAATTGGTGGCTTGAGAAATAGAAAACAGAACTATAAAAGAAGAGTCATATCTTCTTAGTCTGTTCTATTACTAATAATGCTTAAAATTTATAGAAAGTTTTACATATGTGCAGTGTTTTACAAGTGAAAGACAAAGTTTTAAATCATGAATCACAGTCTAATTTGAGGGGTGAGCTAATATAGTCTTGAATCAGCATTTACTATTAGCAGTTTTACCATTAATATGCACCGACAAATGCACATTTTCAGACACTGCAATTAGATTTGCGACCTCAGAGACTAAACCGGCCCTTTATTTTCATTTTGCTTTGTTTTCTGTAATGCCAGACTACTGCTTTACAGTAGGTCACTGATGCTGTGTGCTTAACCAATGACTGACAACTCAAGGACCTTACTGCCCTCTTCCATTACTCATAAGCCTTAGATTCGCCCTCTCCTCTCCCCAGTATAAGCCTTTAGTTGAAACTAACCTGTGACAATGCCACAGACTGAAGACACTTTTAAAAAATATTATTTCTTAATTACTTGCATTTTATCTTTGAATATAAGCCTCAGCCAAATTTATCTCATGTCTAAGAGCTATACTTGTAAGACAGCTGTGAATAACCAAAGCATCTAAATACCTTGACAAAAAAAAGAATAAAATGAGCATTGTGAAATTCTAATCTACCTTGACTTAACTGCTTCCCATAACTGAGGCCACATCTGACAGCAGTGGAAGTAATGAAGGCAATCCACTGTTTAGGCACCTAACTGTTTACTAGTCTAGAATAAAATATCTGTCTCTCTAATGGCCATTTTATATTGTGCCTAAGATACATTCTCTGGGAACTCATAAATCCTCAGATAGGATGCACCAGAAAAGAAAGTGGCTTACACTGTAACGAGTGAGGAACAAACAGTAATTAACCCCCTTCAGCCTCTTCCTTCTCCATCCTCCCTAAATCATTGCACTGAAAATTCAGATCAAGACAGACCTATTACTACAGTGGCCACTCTGATAGGAAAAAAGTGGCAGGAAATGCCTTACTGTCTTGAAACTTGTCAGGAAAAAAATAAAGAAACCCTTAAGAAAGGCTATTAAAGAGTTTAAAGCAGTGTGACTTCACAGGGCAAGAACTAATCACATTAAGAGGGTGCTTTATAGGTCTAGGTGATATTTTAGAGGAAGCAATAGAAGATTAATGCTGAACAGATAGCACAAAATGGCTTTTAATGTACATTGTGTTAATGTGCAGTGTAGGTTCAAGAATGTGGCAGCTAAAGTGGAACTCGGATGCAATATCTGTAGATATCTCAGAGAGGGACTAAATGAGAAATTGTACATTTTAAAATTATTCATATTTACAGAACTTTATTCTAGCACATGTAAAGCAACAAAATGAGCACAGTCCTCCATTGATGCACACAACCTACAAATCAAACTGTTGTCAGTGCCAAATTTCAGAGCTTTAACAGTAACATTGTTATGGGTCAATATAGAGAATAATTTTTAGGCCTGCAAAAGTTAATCGTTTCCTCCAGACATCATTATAGATGCAAAAAGAGAAGAAAAAGAAATTTAATGCTGTTTTTTTTAAAGAATAATTTTAATGTGATTTTTGTTGCCCCTACCTAAAAATGTATACCCATAAAAGATGGATATTTTTATTACTTCTTTCTAATTCTAAATTTTTACTGAAATTTGGCATGGCAAGAAAAAGTAAAACCTTTTTTTCTAGCTTGCTACTGGTATTTTGTGACCTGAATGTATAGAAACAGAATTTCCTTTTCCAACCACTCTGAAATCTATTCCAGTACTTGTTATTTAAGCATTATGAGATAGGATAGAATATGGTACTGTAATAATAATTAAAGGTTTGTAACAAATCTCTTCAAACTAATACACTGATTAGCAGGAATTGAATGAATGCATTAGCAGGAAACTGCGGGCATATGCACCAAGCACAAATTGACAATTGTAACACAAGCAGCTATAGAATAACTGCCTCAGTCAAAATGCACTGGACTAACAAGCACATATTTTGCTCATGACTATATGAGAGTCACGTGCAAGGAACTCTTCCTATACGGTGATTATGCATTGTTTGCAGGGTGCCTCTGGTCCCTTTAACCTCTGTAATACTGAAGGAATATTACTTTGTAATGTTACTTGAAATGGAAGGCCGTTTGCTGTGTTATAGCCTGCTTTCCCCTCGCAGCTTTGTACGCTGCCACCCAATCACCCTCAGTCGCTCTGTGGCAGTTTCTTTCCTCTGATATGCCAAGTGCTCTTGTCTTCCTGGCCTTCTTTATCTCCTCACCCTTCGCTTTGTAAGCTCTCAGTCTATAATGTCATGCTACGATCTCTTCAACCTTTCCCTCAAAGCTTTTCGTTCATCACTATAGAGCCTAGTGGATGCCAAAGTGGAGAACAGACATTCACACATCCAGTACCCATTTTCCCAAATACGTACATGCAGAAAGCCTAAGAATCAGCCATTGTGCAACACCAGCACCAGTCACACGTGCTCCAGTGAGCACTAGCAGCATCATAAACAGGAACAAACAATTGGGAGTTTGAGTGGGTCTCCAAGAAAATTATACAGTTATGATGAGAAAAGTGGCCCAGGGGACCACCTCCTGCACTGGACAGGATGCTCGTCCGAGGATCTCCATCATTTCTTTCCCAAGTTGGCTATCGCGGAGGAGTTTTCCCTTCGCACTCTGTTTGTCTCCTCCTTTTTTTCCTAGGGTAACTTTGCAGTCAATATATGCCATCAGGTATGGACCCCAATAGCGAAGCTTTGTGCATGTAAGCCTGTGTTAACCTTTTTTGTGCAACAACATAAGTCATTATGGGGCAGCTACTCATAATAATTGCATAGTACTTACTTCTCCAGAATACAGAATAAAATGTGATGCTTCTTAATTATCTTAATTACAGGTAATAAGTCCTTCCCCTAACATGAATAAATTAATGCTAGGAAAGCAAAATTTGGTAGAAATAAAATATATGATTCCTGGGAGGGAAAAAAAAAAAAAACAACTTGCAAATTACCCTGGACCAGATAGTTTTGCTGTATCTTAAAAAGCTGTTCCACTCCCAGGTTTAACAAGATATGTGTAAAACTTAAATATGAAGGAACTGATCCTTAATAAGATATGAGTTGTTATGAAGCATGAAAAAAAAAGCCACTGATATAGAGACTGTTATCTAATATGCTCTTTAAACATGTAAGCAAATACATTTGTCCAGGTGCTAGTAATGAGGCTGGCAGGAGTTACAGAAAAGCTAATAAAATAGAACCAATGGGGAAGATAGAAGAAAAGTAGTCAACAGATAATTAAGAACTTTAAATAGCATCCATTCATTCTGATTAAAACACCATAAAATTATTATTGTGCTTTTTTTGTTGCATGGAGGTCTTTAATTTAGTCAAATTGCTTTTTCAATTGGAAGCTCAAGGAGAGATGGATTTGAGGTCCAAATAAAAACATTTTTTCCCTAACCTTTTAAGTTTCAAGTTAATGACTAAACTGTACATTTATCTTTCAACAATAAACACGAAAAGTAATCTTCTATGTAATAATATTATACCTTAGTCAAAATACTAGATCGAAATCAAGTTTCCAAGTTTATTCAGGATAAATCCAAATTTATTTAACTTACTTAAAAACTGCATGAATATATACTGCATGAATATATACTTAAAATCATACCTTGACACTAAATTTTAACCATTTGTGTTTTCTTATCTTCCCATGTATGAATACTTAGAATACTTAATCTAACTAGGAAGCTTATTCCCACAAAGCTATATTGTATCTTTTTTCTTGCATATTTTACTACCCTATCTCTTCTTTAAAATACCTTTTCTTCTTCTCTGAAATCCGCTGTACATTCATGGGACTGAAAGCCATTTAAGAAGGTCAGTTAAGATTTAGGGATCAGTGATAAACCAGAATAACTGCTGGTTATTCCCTTAGTCTGCTCCTGAAAGCTCTACCACCTTTTTCTCAATTGATTTTGAGTGACCAATCTTCTCTGGTTATACTTAGATTAGGAAAATCACTTTACATGCCAAGTTTAGAACTTGGATAGGCCCAGAGCTAACATCAAAAAGTTCCATTATAAGAAACATCAGGAAATGTAACAAAAACTATTGGGTTTTAAACAGGTTCAGCATTTACTTTCTCAAAGGTTGCTAATTTCCATGAAATACCTCACTACCTTCTGTTTAATGTGTCTAAATATGTAGTGCTTTATGCCTAATCTCTTTCAGACTCTTGAAATAGATGTGTAAGGCTGCTATTATACTCTAGTAAAATGTCTTCTTACTCGGTCTAGTCAGATAATCATGGGTCAGTGGCAAGTGGTAAGAACCTCCTAAAAGAATATGAAAAAGTTATTAGAAATGCATACTTTTGAATTCAATTCATTGCTTTTGCCAGCTGTATTCTACTAAATCATTTGTGACCATTTCATAGTATATCAAAGAAAGGAAAGACATTTGAGCTACTTTAATGAATAAGAACTCTCAGAAAGCTATCTACTTTCCACGGAAGATAAAAGAAGAGTTACACATTGCAAAAGAGACTGTTTTCTAAACTTGCTAGAATACCAGCTGTTAGAAGACCAATAAACTCTGCAAGATAGCTGTTAAAGACCTGAAACACACACTGAAACACATGAAAGTCCTAGCAACTTGTAAATTATTTGGCTTTTTAAACTAACTCTTGGAATCTAGAAAGACAGAAAATACACATCCTGACCAGATGATTAATTTCATTTAAATTAGAGAACTGCAATACAGTCTCTAGCACTTCTCTATAAACAGATACAGCTATAAGAGATGATCAATTTGCTTTTCAAATAAATAGTCTTTAGTTATGTAACGTTCCTATCTGCTAATCTCCTACACTGAACGCAATGTTTTTCGCTTGCCATGTAACACCAGGTAACAAAACAAAGAATATAGTAAGTTTTCTTGTTAGTATGACCTTTCCATTATACATTTAGGAGAAGGAGGAGCGTTTTTTGCTTGCTTGCTTTTGATAATCTGGCCTTAGCAGCCTAGTCACAAGGCAAAACACAATATACTCTATTTTAGATGTTTTTTCTACATTTTAAAGCATTCAAACCATTTTGTTACATTTCAAATTGTATCAACAACATTCTCTACATTAAAAGCAGATATTACTAAGCAAACCCCACCTATTTTGATTAACTGAAATACTTACACTTCTGTATTTCACAATATATTCCAAAATGGGGGCACCTCCATCATCTTGTTTAGTTATGCTAAGTTTAAAACTCTTGCCACTTCCTGGTTGTCCATGAATTGATGGAGGGCTTGGCTCCCCTAAGCAAGGAAGAAAAAATTTGATAAAAACAATTCGGCAATGAGATAAATCTTAAATGATGGCTAGAAGTCTGTCCATAAAATTATTAATCCAAATCTTTTAAATCAGTATGACCCTTCCAAGCACTGCAGAACATACTAACAAATGTGTTAGATGTTTTGCTTAAGGTGTGTTCTACCCTGGATTAATAATTTCACACAAGAAACAAAAAGATACAAAAGTACAAAAGAAGTCTCAGTTTCTTTGATTTGACTTCTGATGCTTTCAAATGTAACTTAATTCAGAAATTATTTAGCCATCAATTTGACAATGCTGGCAAGCTGCAAGCTATACTCCAGCAAAGTGAGTGTACATATCCTTAATACTAAACTTAACACTGAGCTTCAGTCTTCTGTGTGAGATCTAAATTGTAATACAGATACTCAGATAATAATTTAGTCTTTGATAATTGTGCTGTGGCAAAATTAGATACTTTTAGAGTACAAAATAACAAAAATCGGCTTTATTACGAATAAATGTAAAGAATAAGATTATCAAAAGCAAAGAAAATGTTCTCAACAATGAATGGATAAAAATCATCTTAAATGTACATATTAAAGGGTTAATAGATTATACCACTTGGCCAACAGCATTTCACTGATTAATTATCATTTATAAATACAATGCCTATTATCAAGTTTTATATCAGATCTCAGATGACCATGTTTTGTCACGTGGAAGTGTCTTCAAAATATCTGTGACTTTCCATTCACTCAGACAGATCCTGTTTCTTTAGAAACAGTTGTAATAATTGTAATATTTGTGTTTGCCCCTTGTTTTTAAAAAAAAAAAAAAACCCAAAACTGATTTAAATCTCAATATTCAATTTGCTTAGCTTTCTATCAGGTAGTATATCTATCAGTTCTACTAGTTTCTATCACTTCTCTATTGGGTATAATGTGCCATATGAATGGCACAAATCGTTTTACTTGTCATTCAATATATTTAGAATATCCATACAATTTAAACAAAAAGAAAATTGAAAGCTGCCAAGTTACAGGTTTTAGACAGAAGAAACCTATCAATAAGAATAGAACATAATAACATGGGGAAAATATTTTATGTTCTTTGTAGTTGGGTGACTTTTACTGTCCATTCCATTAGTTGCAGATTATAGTATTCTTAACTATATTAAATAATGCTCTACTCTGAAAATTGTTCAGTTGCAGCAGACTATTAGAGACTGGTCTACTGACAGTGCCTGACATATTTTGGCGTATCTATTTCAAAGATATACAAAGCCATTTAGTAGTTCTTTATTTTTCTTCTCTCCTTGTATTTCATTTATTTATTATTGTTTCTATTTAAAAATAATTTGGGGAGGATACTTTTCATTAGCCTGTAACATTTAAATCTGAATTTCTTGCCTATGAGGTTCACAACTAACATGGAAGTGGCTTTGTAGCATTTGCCATTTTCATGTAATCCTAGTTTATATGGTTTATTCTCATCATTTTTCTATAGCTTATGATTTCTATTTGAGGCTGGATAACCACAAAACTCTTGGCAGCATAACTTACTTAAGAAATATCTTCTTAAAATGTCAATTCCCTTTGCATACAGCCTATAATAACCCGGGTATAACTGAAAAAATGTCCTTAATCTTTCCTAATATCTTTCATGTCTTCTTCTCTAAACATCAAGATATGGCTAAGTCTTATAAAATATAAATAGCAGGAGAAATTCTCCAATTTAAATTCATCCATATTACTTTAGGGGTGCAGGAAGAAGGGGAGCAAAACATGATTTTTGAGAAATTTACAATCTTACAAAGACTGATGTTATATACTGAGAAGCACAAGCTTTTCCTTAAGTATAAATAATATTATCCACAGTGAATCACATTTTAAATTATTAGCTGATCTGAAGGTTACATACTCTCATAAGTATTTGCATTTTCATTTAATAGCAGAGATATTACTCACGGACAGGTAAGGTCTGAAAGATCTCGATTTTGCTATATTCTCCTTGCCCTTTTCCATTAACAGCAGCTATTTTGATTTCATATGTCGTATTTGGTTCCAAATTGCTCAGAACAACCATTGCTAAAGGAAGGAAAGAAAAATATGGAACAAAGTTTGATTAGGCAATACATTGAAAAAAAGGAAGGCAATTTTGTAATTTGTTTGCTTCACCTGCAAGTAGGTGCCCAATTTTTAAACAGTTAATTGTTCCAAACTATTAGCTGCCTTGTTCAGTGCCAACAGTCTACATTTTTTTAATCTGCATAAACGTTGTTGTGTTTTGAAGGAATTTTGTGTTGGTGTTACAGAAATCATAGGCAACAATTAAGGAACTTGATGATGATAGATATTTTATGTTCAGATTACCAGCACAAGAGAACCAAACCTGGAAAAAAATGATGCAAGTTTCCGTATTCCTAGCTGGCAATGGACTCTTTGGCATCTGACATACATTCAAGTCATTTTCACACAATTCACGGCTTGCCATTTCTCCCTCATGGAAAGCAGTACCAACCATCCTTGGTCTACATTCCTTGATGGAGCTACGTGCACATTATTGTGAATTATTGATGTTATGCTCTGAAAGTTCAACCATATATCACTCAAGATCTAAAACAACAGGTTCTCATGATGATCAAAGAAAGATTTTTGAGTTGTCTACTAAGGATCTGAAATTGAACTAAGCATGTCTGTACATATTTAAGAAGAGGTCTATGGGGAAGCACATTAAGTTATAATGAACAAAGTGATTCAGGAAGAAAATAGGTTTGAACTTAGGATTTAAAGCCAGTATTCTTGTAACTTGAGAGACAACACAATCCCTTCCCCCAGTATCCAGAAGATTTCCTAGTAAGATGTCCATCAGTAAGTACCATGCTTTCGGAAATCAAGACTGACCCTCGGTGGGAGTATTCCATGCATCTGAGCACACCTCTGGAACTCCAGCTGAAGATGATATCAAAAGCAGAAAACAAGGGGAAGAACTTGCCCGAAAGAAAATTGTACAGTTTCAAGAATACAGTTATGCTGACAGCATACAGCAACAAATCTAGAAATGAAATCCAGAAAAAGGATGTTGCATTCCATGATCATCTATGGGAATGTAGTATTGGAGATTATGTTACCACTGCATATTACTAATACCAATGCTGCACACGCATGTGGAAGCTTAGATCCGTAATGAGTCCTTTGACCATGACCCTGTCTTTACAAGAAAACTTTTATTTTGTTGTCTCTACAGCAATCGTCTGCTTGCTGTTTGCCACCTCTGTGGTGAGCTCTCCAGAGGTCAGGTTCCTATTGGGGAATGGCACACACTGGATGAACTGGTCGAAGCACGTCACTATTCGTCTTGCTCAGAAAAACAGGGACTGTATGATCTTACAAGAGGACATAGAATTGCAGTGTCTTGAGAAAGAGCCAGTTCTCTCTTTGCCAGGCTCTACGGAGCCTAGTTTCTTTTCGTTATAGAAGACTATTCTAATAGTTGCTTTAGGCTTGCTTTTCAAGTTTTATATTTAATGAAAGTATAATTATTTCTGTCATCACTCTTTGCTATTCTTTTGAGTCCAGATGTACTATAATTTCTCTTTCATTTTTCTTTTAGTTTCCACAGCAGACAGAAGTCCCATTACTAGCGGAGCTAAATGGATTCAATGAATTTTGGAAAAACAGTAACTTTCCCATTCCATGCTTTATTATGAGTACTTTGCCTGAATTTGCCACTGAAACATGATAACCATTTTCTTACAAAGAAAAGAGTAGTATTGTGGGTTTTCCAGCACTTTTAGTTTTATCATTTTCATAAGATTCAAACTATAAAAAGAACCATATCATGAAAAAACAAAGTGCCATCATGAGAATAAGAATCAAATTTGGAGAAGAAGAGAAAGATTATGATATATAACATTCAGCTATGGTTAGATGAAATTTAAAAACATAAAACAAGCAGTAGCAGCGTTTGATTTGCCTTTCAGCCATGATTACTTTCCAAGGCTGAATAATTTCATTGAAAATAAACCTTGGGGCATACTAAAAATTAGTGTTACTGTAAATGTTTTTAAAATTTAAACAACATCAAAGCATGGCTATGAGTCTACACTTAATAAAATGTGAATGTGTTAACTACATAAAACCTAAGGATCCAGTTCTGTAAACACTCGAGTGAGTCCTGGGGCCTATTTAAATGAATAAAATTATTTACATATGCAGTATTTAAAGAATCAGTGTCTACTTTAAAATCCCCTGCACAGCTACAGTGATTCTCACAAATACATTTACAGAATTAACCCAACTAAAATCTGATGGCATGACAGACTCAAAAACTGGCACCACTTGGTATTGGTAATGGTATGCTGTGGATACCTTTACACAGGAAATAAATTACTAGCTATATTCTCCAGGAAAAAACAACGAAATGAAAACAAAAAATGCATGTTGCTTATCAGAATACTTTAGACAGTCCAGCCATAAAAGACAATATAGAATAATTGTGCTAGATAAAAGGAATTATCCCATAGTATAAAACAAATGTGCAGGGCTTAAAAGGGAATGGAAACAAATTCTTAATAAAGTAGTTTAATAGTCAGCTTTCTTTTAAGGTTTGTGTCTTTCATCTAAGCATAAAAACGGCTTATTCATCTTTCCATGTACAAATTAAATTCTTTTTATAGAAGGCGTCCATAGCTCGCAGTCCTGGCCACAGCAGGTATTTTGATCACAGTTTTCAATCATCACTGAAGTAATAAACTTCAAAATTTCCTATCATTTTCTGAAAGAAATATAGGAATTTCATTTTAAATATAAGAATGTGAAAAAACTGATTAACTGTATACCACTGTGTGAATAATGCTGCTGGCAATAATATCAAGTCTCAAAGAACTGAGGCTGCTTAATCATATTCAGTCTTTTTCTACCTCCCCTATCTACCTATGTTTTCACACTAGCTACCTAATCATAGCACCTATATGCTTTATCTGAAGTATTCCACTTTGCAGACTAACTGATTTTACAGCGATTCTTCACATAGTAACTGCTTCTGTTGAGGAGCAGCCTTGGAGGAATTACTCCAGGGAGGAAAAAGTAGAAGATTGTCTTGCCAGTTCTGCAGGCATAGCGGGACTCAACATGACACAGAATAACTCAGGTCTCAGTGTTTTGACTTGTGAGAAGCCAGACAGGGAAGATGCACATTGCATGGAAGCCTTTCAGGAGATCATAACACAAGAAGTAACAGGTATTATGGTTCTGTTTTCATTTACTGTATAGAGAATTTAAAACAAAATGCTTTATACTCTTTCTGAAACAGTAGGTAAAGAACAGGTGGTGTTTTTTTGTACTCCATAATAAAAACAAACAAACAAACAAACAAACTGATAACAACCACAGAAAACAACCACAGACAACGACCATGACAAAATTCAGTTCAACCTATTTGTGGCAGGAATCCTAAAGCTTAATGTTAAAGTCCTTATTTTTGATTGTAAAGATTCTTCTAATTTGCAAGCAGATCTAACATGTTAAAGGGTTTACACAGTACAGAAAAAGCCACAGAATGATGGCTATATTAGATATATTATAGAAAAATTACAGAAACTCCATAATTAGTGGTCAAACTACTTCAAATATGGAGCGTAAGCACTTCAGCTAGAAAAATTTAGTTTATTATTACGATTTTAAACTGCTATCAAGAAGAACTATAGGAAAAAGCAATGTTTGACACAAGATTTGCTGTGAAATGATTTGTACTATAAATCCAAGTAACTATACAAAAACCTAAAAACCAGCATCTGATTTTCTGGTCCAGGGCTAGGTTGCTTATATTGCCTGGTTATATTAGAATGAGAGGGACATTGTCTGGAATATCAAACTGTCCTATTCCCAAAGAAAATCTAGCTCAGAAATCATTAAAGGACTGTGATGCATTACGTAAACCATCACCAAAACAAGGAAGGTTAGGGAACTAATGGTACGGATACACTACCTTAACCACAAAGCAGATCTTAGCTGCTTTGCTGACCACAAAGCAGGTCAGTTAACAGAAATATCATTTACATCAATACAATGTTTTCATTGGAGAGCTACCTGCTGCACAGAACAATGTTCTTCTAGTTCCTGACTTCAGCTTTTTGCAGACATCAGATCTTAACAAAGTAGGATATCAATCTACCTCGAAACACAGTAGTTGAGAGCTATCATTGCTGAAATATCATCTTCTCTCATATGTATTTCAGATAGTGGTAGCAGTGCAAAATTTCTGTCTAAGAAGCACTGCAGATTTTAGGAAGTTTTTTTGCTATTCCTTTCCCTCTAGTCTAAATCCTTATTATGTACACAGACTGAATACAGAGCAGGTTTGTAAGTGGAGTGCTTTGATTTAGCAGTATTTTGCTGCAGCTCTTACACACAATTGACTACTCTTAAGAAAAAACAGAGTCTCCTGGAAACATATGAATCTCTTTCAGAGGAAAAAGTGAAGAGCATTTTTATGACTTTTAAATAGGTTTCTCTTTGTGATGATGACCCACAGTCTTTTAAGGTCAGAAGACAAGGACATGGGAGGAGAGCTGTGAGGAAATTCTGGTAGTGCAACATCGAGCTTCTGTATAAACGTCTCAGAATTTTGTAGCTGTCACACAATTTGAGGAACTTCTCCTAAAACCTTGGTCTCCGTGGGTTGGCCATCGTGCTTTTGTCCAATTTAAGTGCTTGTGCAATGGAAGGAAGAGTGTAAAAACTGTTTTTCTACCTGTGCCTCAAAGAGTTAGCTCACAGAATTGTTGCCAAAATAAAGTTAGAAATTGCCCCAGGGTAAAAATACAGGAAAAAACAGATAAACAAGGATTTTGCTACAAAACAGGAAACATTCATCTGCAGAAACAGTCATGCTTTCTCAGTTCCATCTGTCTGCTTTGCCCAAATAACAATTAATTTCATAAATGCTGCTTCAAGCATCTGGCTAAAAATGTCAGAATTAAACTAACACAATGAAGTGAACTTCAATAATGAAAATATTTCAAGTGGTGTATTAGGATGACAAAAAAAAAAAAAAAAAGCCACTACTGCCACTCAAATCATTGGAG